AACAGCCACTTCTGGCACAGAAATAACTAGTCTGGGCACCTCTGGCTTGAGCCAGATCTATGACTTTCTAGGGAGCTGGCAACAAAGTCAGAATGTTAAAATAAACAGCTCTGATGCTATTTAGTAGAATACCGGTATTTTGATTCTGGAAAGGCTAGTCCAAATCAATCTTAGCTCTTCACAAAATTTCTACCAAGTCAGTAACTCCATCGCAAATGAAATATCATTTGCATCGAAATAAAGTTACTCAACTTAATAGGCATTTCTAGATTATCTAGGGATAGAACTATCCTCCTCAAATGTAACTAATGTAACTCTTGCTTCCAATTTCTTTTTGACATAATTCTCTTTCCTATTTACCAATGAATCTTGTTTGCAGCTCTCCTAATGAGCACAAGCATCATCTCATCTGCTTCATTAAACTCTTCCTTAGAAGTGAAAATAATACCATTAGCCCACTCTGAGTTGTTCTCCTCATGGAAGTGAGTTTGCACTAAACCATGTGGCCCATAGATATGTCCTGGCTGGTTAATATTTGGAATGGAGTCATGGGTCAAAATGCTTTCTCTGTGTAATATCTAAAGTTAAGAATCCTGACCTTGGCCTTCTAAGGAGCACCCAAATGCAAATGTGTTCTTAAGTCTTGTAAGAATATTTCTTCATATTCTCCACCAAATGTTAAGTAAATCTCTGGAGAAAAGACTACACTCAAACAAACTGTTCCATCACCAATGTGACAAAGAATAGTTACATAAACACTTGGAATATTCAAAGCAGGCCAAATAAAAGCCAGCGTTAGTCACAGTTTTCATTAGACAAGTCTCATAACTATTTTTAAAGTTTAACTAATGGAAAATTATGTTTTAAAATGCCAATTTCATGATATTAGCCCATAGTCCACAGGACTTAAACGCTACTCTCTCAAAGTGGCACCTGACATAACAGCAAAGTACTTTTTTACTCTGAAAGTATATCATGAGGATGACATCTACCCACACAAAACGAATGGCATGTGCATTCATGAACTGTTCCAGAGGGGTGAAAAGCCTAAAAAGGGGACTGTCTTCCTCATCTTAGTCACTACAACATCTGATGATGATGATGATGATGAAGATGATGATAACACTGATGATTTATATGCCTATTATGTGCCAGTCACTGTTCTAAGAGCTTCACATATCTTACTCAATCTTCATAATACCCAAACTTGGGAGGTAAGTACAATTGTCATCTCATTTTATATATGAAGAAATCCATGCACAGAGAAGTTACATAATTTACTCAAGATCACCCAGCTATTAAGAAACAGAGGCTCCAAACCCCGGCAGCTTTATCCAAAGCTCAAGCTCTTACCACAAACCAGTAATGGGCAAGTGATATATATTTATTGAAATACAAATTAAAAGTATTTGACCAGTGGCTTTTATAATGTACACTTTTTTAAAAATGCAAAATATATCTACCCTTTGTTCCCATTCGTCCAACCAGTCAAAGTATAATGAGGCACAAGCAACAGACTATAAGTAATTGAGAGCAGAAAATCTTTTTTTCAATCTCTTTAATACCTCATAGTGTCCCACCAAGAGAATAGAACCAAAGAATCTAAGATGCTTCAAAAAAAAAAAAAAGGACAAAGACAGCCAGGGTGAGCTGCTGACCAAAGTATGTCAGAGATGAATATTCTCTCCTGTTAACTGTTCTGCAGTGACGCTCTAAGCACTGCAGCGCTGCCAGCATTACCTCTGAGCTCATGAATGCCGTGCTGCAAGAGTCACCAACAACCAAACAGGAAAATATTTCCTTTTCTCTACTGACTTTATTCATCTCAGGGTCCTAGAGGTTTGAGAGTTAACAGAATCTGGGAAAGGGCCAGCTTCACTTCACCACTTATTGTTGAGTAGCCTAGTCAATAAACAAAGTTTACTTTAGCCTCTTAGTCCTCAGAATGGGTAGAACATATAAGAAAAGGTGATCATAAATACTTCTTTGATGTTCAGGAACACCTACCACTTAACCTCCTTCAACCAACACAAATATCGTCTGAATCAGCTGAGTCTGACTGTTATATATGGTTATAAAAAAAATCCAGACCATTCAGCGGCCTATAGGGAGAAAAGAAGAAAGAAGAAATCTCATACCTCTAAGAGATGAAACAAAAAAATAATACATTCTGGAAAAAGAGGAGAAAAAAAATAGCTCTCTTTGGTTCCAAGTGAGCTAACTACAGAACTAAGATAAACACTGCAGTGCATGGGAAGAAGAATCTATCTACCTGAGTAACTGAAACAGCAGCTTCTGCAACCGCTAGTACCTAGGCACCTTCCTCGCCATTATATAACCAAACCATGGCCTTAATAGGCCATCATACTGTATGTCAACAGCTGTTGGGCACATCTAAGCTGTCAGTATTTAAGAAACCCTTCCAAAGTGGATTCAGATAAGCATGGAGCAGGCCAAAATATGCTCATCGTCCACCCAGAGCACATGACAACTCCTTGTGAATTAAGCTTCACTCATGTCGTCAGAGTAATTTAAGCAGCAGAAGATAGGGCCCTTGTAACTGTAACTAGAAAATTGCACACTGCTACAGAAACACAAATGAGTGCTGGTGTGGTCCCGTCACATATGCAACTCATTGAACTCATTGTCCAAGCCATTTCAGTCTCATTCAAGATTCTGAATATTTCCATACATAGGAATTGCATAACTGCACACCACAAACGATCAAAGATAAAAACCAACATAAACAGTGGCACCCGTTTATAAACAAGCCGATGTTTAAAATGCTGCATTCCTGAAGGATACCAAGGCCTCAGAGAAAAACTAACACACACACACACACACACACACACACACACACGAAAATTAGAAAGCGGGGAGGACCAGCCATAATTAGCCACTGGCTTTGCTGACTACTGAAGATAGAGATGTCTCTTTTATATATAAAGCCAAGAATCAACTGTTTGCAATTACATTTCCAAAAACATTCAACCCTGTCTGTTTCAATTTTTATCAATATTTTGGTGTATCCGAGGGCTGGAAGATACAAAATTCTTTAAGTCATGGATACCATAAACTAGGCAACCAATTTAAGTTCATGGAGTCCATCCTCCAAAGGTCAGAGCAAAATAATCACAGGAGAGAAATGTGATTACTTAGAAGTGGGGGAGGGGGCGCAAAAAAGGAAATACCAAAACAAGGAACAAGGCTCCAACAACAAGAGTTGTTTGTACACGTAAGTTTAGCTTGGTTAACAGTAAACAGAACTGGAAACACTGGGGGCTGGGGTGGGGGGAGATGCACTAGAGTCTTGGCTCAGTCTACTCCCCCTCAGGGTCTGAGGTAACATCAGGGAACCTCAGACTTCGGTATCTCCTGCAGCTCAGACCTGCAGACTTGAGGCCCTCTGATAAAAACTGACAGAAAAGCTGAAGGGGGCCCCCCAGAGGAAGTGAAACTGACCAATCAATTTTCCACAGCCACCCACCCTGCCACTCTGGTATGAAGGGCCCCCTGTAGCCTTTGACAGAAAGAAGGGAAAAAGGAACTTCAGGTTGTAAGTAAGCAGGAGAGAAGGCCTAGATTAAGTCACTGGATTCTGAAAACAAGCGACTGCCATAAAAGCAAAAACAAGGTAGTGATGACAACCAGAGGCTAGGCTGAGGAGGTGAGGGGAATTGATGTGGCTTTGGTAGGAAGCAGCAGCTAGCTATAAGGGCTCTTCATTAGTCAGGTTGAGGGAAACACAAACTGCAGTTTTAAATATAGTGAATGACTACACTGAAAGTATTCATTCAAGTGAGAGACTTTGCAAAGAAAGAAATTTGGAGTACAAATGGGCTTTGTGGGTCCAATCGAAACCAAACGATTCCAATACTCCCAATGAAGATGGCTACAGGAAAGAGCTACCCATATTTCCTCGAAAAAGGAATTTTAACGTGTAAAATTTTGTATGTATACATATATGGCTTCCTAACTGACCTTGGCCAATTTCACTACTACAGCTCCGCTCCACAAATCCCTTGAGAACCAAAGGGCCCAAGGAGTGTAATCCTCCAGTGTCGGGGTTCCTCATACCCCTCCTCCGTCACCAGCCTTTCCCCTTACCACTGAAAGCTTACTATGGGATCTCCAAAACCCACAATTCCAGACCCTCCAACAACTACAAGCAGCAATCCAGCTCTCCCAAATTGTTTAACCCCTGGTTACCTAGTGCCACCATAAACCTGCCCCCCCACTCTGTTCCCTGAGCCCCTTCCTGCAGAAAAGCAAAGTAATTTTTCCCCAGTATTTCCCCATTTTCTTCATCACCTCCTCCAAAGATTTCGTCTGTCCTCAGGCTTCCATTCCCACCATCTATCAGTCCTAGACTATCAAACGCTGATTGGTATCTCACCTCTGTCATTAAGGTACCAGTTCCCTCCTACATCCCAGTACCCTGCACCGATCATACACCCCCAGTGCATGCCCCAGCCGTCCTTGTTCCCCTTATGAGCCCCTTCTGCCAGTTTACCCGTGCCTTCCCCCATCCTCCTGGTCTGCATTTCCTATGCCCCTGCCCTCACTCCCTTAGGATTTCCTAATTGCTGGTTCCAGTCTTCTTCGCTTACAGTAGCTTCCAGCCTCTTGGCTCCGTCAGAGTTCCAAACCTCTTTCCAATCGTCCCTTCCACTACCCTCGGTACAGCGCAGGGAACCCCCTCCCCATTCCCGGCTCCGCAGTTCCCCAGATCTCCGTGCTCAGTGCCCCCCCCGCGTCCCCTCTGCCGTGGAGTTTCCCTCTCTCAGTCCCCAGTGTCCCCTACCTTCTCGCCCTCTCCTCACTCCCCTGGACAACCCCCTACCCGTTTCCCCTGTCCCCAACGCTCTCCAACACCCCGAGCCCTACTCGCTGCGCCGACCCCTCAGCCTCGGTGTCGCGGGTCTCCTGCCCCCGCCACACTCGGCGGACGGTCCCGAGCCGCGCAGCCCCACAGCCGCCCGGTCCCCCCGCGCCACTACCTTGGCCTTGGTGACGAGGTGCGTGGCCCGCTTGACCACAGCGAAGTTGCCCTTGCCGATGGTGCGGTCGATCTCGTAGTAGCCGATGCGAGCAGGCACCGGACCACGGGAGGCCGGGGCTGGGGGACGCGGCGGGCCAGCCGCCGGGGACACAGCAGCGGGGGCGGCCGGGGGCCCCGGGGCGGGCGGTGGCAGTAGGCGGCCGGCCGGCCCGGCTCCCCCCGCTCCGGCCCCGGCAGCCCCGCCAGCTCCGCTCGCCNGCCGCCGCCATCTTGTTGTGCAGTGAAACCTCCGGGGCCGCGGGGAGCCGGCGGGGGGCGGGAAAAGGAGGGGGGAGGCCATGCGGACGTCACTCCGGGGGGCGGAGCGCCCGCGCCGCCGGGGCCGGACGCCATGGCAACCGCTCGTCACGTGTCGACGCGCGTCACTACCCAGAGCCATGGCAACCGTGACCTCACTGGCGAGCTCGACCTTCCCGCGTGGGCCCTGTTCCTCTGGCGCTGGCTCCCGGATGCCCCCCTCTGGGGGTGAGGCAGTGGGCATCGCAAGTGTACCAGCCAGTTCCAAACCGCCGCAGTGTTCCCGAGTCGGGGATGCTTTCAGCCTGACCCAAAGCCAGCCCCGTCGTCCTTGGAATCGCAAAAGTGGCCCCTACTGTGACCTATGTCCCAGTTCAGCAACCGTCCAGCCTCCCTTAAAACAAAATGTTGCCTCATCACCAAAAATACCAGCCTTGTCCCACTTTAGCCCTTGAGGCCACAAAGGCAGGAATAGCTACAGTATTGAAGCAACTGTAACTAAGTTGGTAAGCGAGGGGGATTTTTCAGTAAAATTCCTTCCTCTTACAAAAGCAACTCACCCGGTACAACCAATCTAGTTGTCACCAAATATAGGGGAATGGAGAAACCAGGATTTGCGTGTTCGAGGGCGGAGAAACCAGCCCAAACACGCATTCCAATTATTGGGTGGGTGAGGGCCAGGGAAGGTACGTCATTTTCCTTCCTCAAACCCCGTCTCTGAACAATTCTATAGCTAGATGACTGTCCTATTTCTGTCACTTGTATAACCCTGACAAAGCAGTGGTGCACATTGTCCAGTGAGCCACATCACGGTTAATGACGAACGGTCTGTTAGGCAAAATAAATAAGTAAATAATAAAATAAAGAATTCCGTCCTTACTAGTGACTCTCCAAGGACATTGAAGGTGATGAAATTTATCTTTTTTTCCCCCTTCCTCTGTTATATGGCATTCCACACCCTCTAGAGCCCCTCACTAGCTCCCAAATTCCCCCCTCCTCTTTCTCCCCCTCCCTTTATTAGGTAGATTAATTTAACGGCTTTAGGCAGGGATGGGGAGGGGTAGGCAATTGGGCTGTCAGTAACAAGATGAGGAGGGAGGGAAGATTATGAACATTTCCATGTTAAAATGTATTCCTTCAGTCCAGTCCTAATCCATCCACATCTGTGTCTCTCTCAAAGGCAGAACTGTATCGTCATGTCATTGCATGTACATTGCATGTAAATGTGTGAGGAGAGTACATGTTTACTCTCTCTGACCAAAAGATATTTACAAGCACTCTGATTCCCCATCTGACTATGAGTAATGGCTGGGACTAGGATGGGACAGAGAGGTCACTCTGCAATTGTCTTGGATCAATTCCCTGGTGGCTGTTCCAAATTGCCAACATAATTAACACTAATTGGCTTCTTTACTAGCAAGTAAGGATAAAGATGAAGTGGACCTTGGCTTCTTGCACTGGTTAAATCTTTTCATTGGTTGAGATCATTCAATCCCAGATAAATAATGAGGCATGACCAGCCTCTCGTAGCACTTCATGACCCCACTCAGCTGCCTCTAGCAAGGGAGAGTACATTAACTTTTGTACTGGGCCCCAGGGTCCCAATGGTACCATCTCCCTAAGGACGGGAGGGGAATAGAGGTCTCAATGGAAAACTTAGCTGGCTGGTAAGGCAAGGAAAAAAATCTTTCACTCCGGAGGTTGCAGGAGCAACACTGAAACCATTCTCATAGTGACTTTGTAGCCTCTCCTCCACTGGTGGAGATCATTTGAATGAACATCAAGTATGGCAACTTCTGCTGCTCTCCGGAGGGTGTAAAAATCAAAGAAGCCTCTGGGAAGAAACTAGAAAATGAAGCATTGGTCTAACCTCCAAAGAAGAAGAGACAGATCACTCTTGTCCCTAATAATGGCCAGACTGTGTATGCTCTGTGTTATATCATTTATGTTCCCTGCCTATATGGAGTGAAACCAGTAGATGGTGTATCCTGTTGAGAGTTGGGCAAAAACTTACTGGAGGTCTCCCTGAAGAGTTCTCTCTGCTGAGAAGAATATAGAAAATTGGGGAGGGGATTGTTTGACAAAGATCATCAGGGGAGAAAGGAAAACAGTATAGCTGTATGTATTTAATAAGGATTTACTGAGCACCAAGGACTCCAGTTTTGGGAGGAATTCAAAGTCAATAATACCAACAATTTGCCAGGCTGTATGCTAAGCAGTTTACATAAGTGAACTCACTCCTCAACAACCGTATGAGATGGATTATATTATTATCCCCATTTTGCAGATAAGAAAAATGAGGTACAGAGGGATTAAGATAATTGGCCACAGCCACAGAGCTAGAACATGGTAGAACTAGGATGCAAACCCCGGTAGCCTACCTACCTCTGGAGCCTGAGATCTCCCCACACTGGATTGTAAACCCTGTCAAGGTAGGAGCTAGTAGGAAAAGTTGTTTCTCGGGAAGCCCAGAGGCTGAGCTCAGTTTACATCCAGGGAAGAAAAGGACTTGGAGAGTCCTGGAGAGCAGGACAGAGTAGGCACCTACGCAAATAAATAAAGAACAACAGACTACACAACTGATTAAAGTACCAGTGATGGCTTCACTTGTAAATAGCGCCACAAAGAGATGTGTAGGCGTTTTGCTGCCCTTAGGAAGCAGGCAGGCAGGTGTGTTCCCGCCCTGCTGCACACTCACAGGAGCAGCCCGAGGGCTGAATTTTTGGAACCCCTGTACTTCAGGCTGCAGGCAGAGAGCTAACTACCACGCAGCTCCCTGTCAGCCACTATAACCAACTCACCCTTTTCTAGAAAAGCAAAAGATGAGTTCAAAGATGAAAATGAGACTTTTTCCTATGCAACATCATTGTCTCGTTTCTAGAATTTGAAAAGGGCAAACCAAGGCATTCTTTTTTTTTTTTTTAAAGATTTTTATTGGGGAATTGGGGGGATGGGAACAGTGCTGGGGAATTGGGGAAAGGGGAACAGACAAGTTGCTGTCGTTTTGTTCTTCAATCTAGTTGTGGAGGACGTTGCTTCACTGGCCCAAGTTGGCACCATCATTGCGCTCTTCTCTGGCGAGGCAGATCAGTCGCCAGCTTCTGGACGGCCGCTCACTGTGGCTGCTGGCCGCTCACTGCGGCTGCTGGCCGCTCACGCTGGCTGCTGGCCACACACGGTAGCCCATGGCAATCCACTGCCACAGGGACTGCAGCCCACGCCGTCGCCGGCGACTCATGGCAGCCCAGCTCCAGGTTGAGCTGTTGTTCAGCATCTTAGCTGTGGAGGGCAGTGTCACTGGCCCTCATATGTGGGATCCGAACCGGGGCCCTCTGGCATCCCAAGCGAGTTCTTAACCATTGCGCCACTCGGCCGGCCCCAAACCAAGGCATTCTTGATGGACAGAATAGGCCCTTAAAAACTTCTAGAAGTGATGTAATACCTCTGAGGACCTAAGGCCTGACCTGAGAGTAATATAAGTAGTGGGGGGTTATACATTAACTCTTGGATGATTTTAAAGGCCTGCTTAGTCTATCTGCAGGGCAGTTTACCAGGAACCTGAAAGAAAACTGCAGCCACATGATATAGCTGCACAGAGTCTCAGAGCCATCAAGGCCCTGAAGAAAGTTCAACGCCTCACTTTATATTGTCCCAGCTCATTACTGCTCTGAAATAAGCTAACATTATATGAGCATTCAGTTGATGCAGAAGCATATTCAGAAATTCTGTATGCCAAAAGGCAACATCATAGAACGTTTAAATGCTACTTATTCCCAAACAAGGGCGTTATTAGCCAGTTATAAATTCTGCCATCACATAGAAACAGGGCACTGTTGGATACACATCGCCTGAGCACTCAGTGCTCGGTTCACCTGGTTCTCCGGGTGAGCTGAATGTGCACCCTGTCTGTGTTAGGGCTGCATTCTGCATTACCGCCTCAGCTATGTGGCTGCTGCCTTTCCTTCTCCTATCCCAGATCAACCTAGCAGTGTCCAAATGCTGAACCTGGATATCCAGAAACAGGTCTGGCAGCCAAAGTAAGTGCATAGTCTCCTGCTATAAAATATCTTGGGGAGGGGTCTTAAGGGAAGCTAAATAAGCTTTCAGTCAAGGATTTTCTGTTCAGCTTGCCTGCATTTTTCTTTTTAAAGATTTTATTGGGGAATTGGGCGAGGGGAACAGTGTTGGGGAATCGGGGAAGGCGAACAGAGAAGTTGCTGTCCTTTGGTTCTTCAGTCTAGTTGTGGAGGATGTCGTTTCACTGGCCCATGTTGGTATTGTGATCATTGCGCTCTTCCCGGCTGAGGCAGATCGGTCGCTGGCCATTGCACGGCCACTCACAGTGGCTCACGGCAGCTCACACCCGCTGCCGGCCGCTCACAGTAGCTTATGGCAGTCCACTGCAGCCCCACTGCAGCCTACACCATCACTGGAGACTCACGGCAGCCCAGCTCCAGGTGGAGCTGTTGTTCACCATCTTAGCTGTAGAGGGCGCAGCGTCACTGGCCCATGTGGGATCCAAACTGGCTGCCCTGCTGCTCAGAGCTCGCGCTCCCAAGCCAAATTTTAACTAACAAGCCACTCAACAGGCCCCACATTTTTCTTTTTAATGGAAGCAGTCAAGCTATTACACGAAACATAAAACTTACCCTTACTGCTTTGCATATGTTCTGGAATATGATTTAAGCATTTTTAGATTATTATTAAAGCATTACCCTTTAAATCACCCAAAACATCTTTAGTATGTTTTTCTTTAAGGTTTTCTGCATTCTTAGATGTGACTATATTATCATATGGGATCAATGTTTTCCTCAGGTGAATACACCTTTGGTTTTATAAGGACAATCAATGGGAAAATACATTTAGTAAAGAAAAAAATTCATCCAGGACATCTTTTTTTTACAAAAGTATATGCTCCTAAGGTGAGGTACACTTAGTTACCCTGTAATCAACTCCTTAATATTCACATTAATAACAAAATTTTTCTTATAATCTGCCTCTTTTGACTAAATGAA